AAATTTAATTCAATGCATATTAAAATCACTTACCAAAGAATTTATTGTATGGTATAGAGAACGTTTTTTCTTTAGATAGTTCTTTAGAATTGAATGGCTTCTCTTTGCACCATGATACTTGTCAACAATCTCCAGCCACTTGGTCTGATAAACATGTCGGTTGTTGTGATTCAATCCTTGGGACGGACTTGCCGATATATATTCTTTAAGTAGAAGCACAAAATGCGGATGCGCATTAATCTAAATCTGCACAGACGGTTGATTGTTTTCATGAAACATATAAGCTTCCCTTGTCATCTTTGCTTTTATGTTGTGCAAATCTTTCAAATGAATCGTGTTATCTTTAGCTCCTCTTATGGACCATGAAAGAGGTGTAGTATCATTAAAAGAACAGTTTGGACCTCCTACTTGAATTTTCTATTTTAAATGCATGTCAAAAACTTGTGGAATTGTCCAACCCCATCTGAACAGTTGCTCTATGTTCCGTCTGAGCTCGTTTGTAATTCGTGGAGCATATGCACACTTTGGACTCCAAGGAACAACCTCATTTTCTACAATTCTTCAGTGACAACTTTTCCCTTTATCATTACAATGAGTCCTGCAACATAAATGAAAACATCAAGTTAATATTAATTCATATTTATGAAATAACATTTGGATAATAATAACGTACACATCAACAAGTTCATACTGTAAAAACAATCAAACAAAATACTCTTACATTTGTCTGTGATATATGACTGCAGTCTAAGGTTCTAATTTGTAATATGTAAGAACAAAGTTACAAAAACATACTCTCTTCAATTGATCATTGAAGTTTATCTTTCTTGATCGTGGTATACTATTGTCTCCTATACCAAGAGGTGGATCTGTGCCTTTCTTGAGTATCGTGTCTAGAATACAAGAAGTATGGTTGAATGGTCCAGAAGCACATTAATAAGTTACTTTTTTTATCCAAGCAGTTTTTGGGTCTGATCTATCATTGGTTTCAAATTGTTTCAAAGCTTGTTTCAAATTCTATATTTCTTCTGCCTTCATCATTCACAAAATCGTCTACCCTTTCACTTGGAATACGAGCTAACTCCACAAGAAAATGATGCATTTTCCAAGCCCACTGCAAATCATCTGCATGGAATGTTCATGTAGGAGGTGATTGAACAAAAATTCTACTGTCCATTGTGACACAAGTGTTCGTTTTTTTCAAGAAAAAACCAAGATTTAATTTTGGTTGGGTAAATGTAGCCAATAAATCGTCTCTGTAGACGATAGACACCTCTCCTTCCCTTCAACTCCTAGTTGAGTGGAGGTATATCCATGTCTAAAATCTAACATGAACTATCTTCTAAAAAAAAAGATCACAATCAGCATATTCATCAGCCTATATCCTTATCATATCGTCAATCTTACACCTCGCGAGCACCCCCAAAAATGCTCCTTGCTATTCGGATAGTGTCATAAGTCCACCATGATAGCAGCTCAAAGGCAACCAGCCAGCCAGTCAAGCATCAAACAAATGATGGGACAAAGAGTAGAATCAAGGCTTGTCAATTATTTCCCACTTCAGAGCTTCACTTGCAAATTATGGTGATTTCCGTAGAGCTTCTCTTTTGTGCTAGAGAGATGCAGTCATTAATCTCATAGCTCTAGTGCCACTTTTCTACAACAACAAGCGAATCTTGAATTAGTAGTGGCAATAATTCATTGAGATTAACTCTCATTCACCTCAGCTTCACTTCTTCCGTCATCGCATCCAGCCACTAACCGTTCAAATCTACCCTGACATAAAAACACTACAACCAACTATACTCTGGCCCTAAAGAAGAGTTCATATACTGTATTACTTTCATGAGCTGCAAGCTTTGGATGATCACATTATTTCCGCAATGGGTTGTCACTTCGATTGGACCACATAAAGAAACAACTGAAATTTCACCGACCTAAAGAGTCGAGGTATGCATGGCTTATTTTATCAATGATATAATAATAATAAGAAAAGGGTATGCGCAGTGGGAACAACCTGAAAGATTAAGTGTCAATCTTTGTATGTACTTTTCTAAAAGAAAGTCAAATAGAATCCACTAAAGAGCCAATATAGTTTTTACATCATGTACATTCACATGTATGAAAGAAGGGTGCTTTATGGATAAAGAGGAGCGATAACGGGAAAATAAAGTAGAAGATAGCTACATCTTCAGTCTAAAATTGAATAAATCGTATCTAAGAATCTCTGAACACAATGTCTTAGTTCGTTTAATCTTACTTCTGCATCTCGCTACATAGTATCTAAGGTTCTCTTCATTCATGAGTATGTTGACATGTGAGATGCCAAATCCGCCCATTAAACTAGTACTCTATACCCTTTCTTTAAAAACTTGGACTAGATGACAGGTTGACATTCCTCGACTTAAAAGTCAGTGTTTTTAGTTCATCTTGGATTTGAGAATGTGAACATGTGTTTCAACAAAGTTTTTTAGCGGTTTCGTTGTATCAACAGCGTCATGGATGCCAACTTACGTAGTGGTGGTATAAAACGTAGTAGACTCCTAATTGATTAATCCTGAACAGAAAGAAAATTCAAAAAGAATGCATAGTAAGGAGGTAAGAATTTTCTATTTGTACCCCATAGTACAAATAGCTCATTGTACAATCAAATAGCTAGCTGATGAAGTGTGTAGACGATAGACACCTCTCCTTCCCTTCAAAAAGAATGCATAGTAAGGAGGTAAGAATTTTCTATTTGTACCCCATAGTACAAATAGCTCATTGTACAATCAAATAGCTAGCTGATGAAGTGTGTAGACGATAGACACATCTCCTTCCCTTCAGCTCCTAGCTGCGTCGAGGTATATCCATGTCTAAAACCTAACATGAATTATCTCCTAAACAAAAAAAATCACAATCAGCATATTCATCAGCCTAAATCTTTATCATAGAATCTTTTAAGAAAAAATAGAGATACTTTAGCTTCATCAAATCTACTAAAAAGAAACTGAAGTACTTTGAACTTCATGAAATAATTTGAAACTGAAATAGACATTGATAGTTTGATAGTTTGACACTCAATCAGGCCATTCATATGAGATGCATTCTCACATGAAGAACTGCGACTTGCAGGTGTCACGAGATCCACACTACAAACTGGGAAATGCGCAAATGAGTTAGGGGTTAGAATTTCAACGTCGGCTCTCTTTCTTTGCACCTTTCACAAGCAATAAAACTTGAAAAACGGAACTTGAAACTTGAAAACAACTTAGCAAAACGAATGATACTCGTCTTTGATTTGAAGTCTCCACGAGAATTGCGAGTGGAATTGATTGTCCCCGAGCCAAAACCCAAAGTGGTGAACAAGACTAATGAGAATTACGTCTGAAAGCTATAAATAGTAGTCATAACCCAGAGTTGAGGTATCACCAACCTGCCAATCCTGAGTCCCCGACCATATCTTGGCTCAATTTACCATCATGAGTGTCTTGTGTGAAACCTGTACGGGGTCAATGATTATTACCTGCTTCGCCTTCTCCTTTCCGACGAAGTGCAGTCTCGGAATTACTTTAATTTATACTTTAATATAATTATTTAATTTACGCACCTAAGATCATCCCCATGAACATCGAGCTCCTATCATCATGGAGATACACGAGCCTCTATGATGTGAAGATAACCATGGTCTTTTAAGTTTTAATTCCTTCTCTGTTTCTCTTGTTTTGATAACATCATGTATTCTCAAATCCCTCATGCCACGCAAGGTTAGATTGCAGAGGATTGATGTGCAATCGGTTCAAAATGTGCTTATGGAATTTACTGTCCCGAGCCAAAACCCGCACTCCATGGGGTTTCTTCTTCTTCTGATACAGGCTTGTCAAACCGCAGAAAAACTAGCACGAACATTTTGGACGAGTAAGAGAGTGAGGATTAGCGCGCGAAATGCTAAACCCTGGGTGACGGTGACCCGCAAACGGTGTACCTTTGACGTGGGCCCGTATACCAGCCCGGATGAGATACGTTCGTGGTTGATCTAGCCAAAAGTGTAGTAAGAAGCTCCGTAGTCCCCAACAAGAAAATCTCGTATCCCTTTAACGACGAAGTTCAGTAGCCGGAGTCTTCCCAAAAGGAGTATGTCTGAGTTCTCTGAGACCATGACCTCCGTTCACGGCAACGGTCATGCCAATGGGGGTTGGCGGGACGCGTCCCGGTAAAGTTGCTACCGGGGTCTCGCCAACCCTAAATCAGGCCGGTCACGCCAAATGAGATCCTTCGGACGGTAACTTGGAGTGAAGGTTTTTTGGACGTTAAATTTTGACTTTTGCAAACTGACAGTTTTCTAAAAGTGTCAAACATGGCTTGTCGGAGGCAAAGGGCTGGTTCAGTGGAGTTGTCGGAGAGGATCCGGCAAGGTTGGTTGCAAGAGGGAAATATTTTTTTGTGAAATTTCATTTAAGTGAAAATTTTTTAACAACATTCAAAAATATTTTTTACTTGGGATGTAAAGTTTAAATTAGGCATTATCAATTTGAATTACTCAGTTTTTTTTTAAATATTACTTTTTTCCAATAAATTTTTGAGTTCAATGAACATTTTGATGAACATATTTAGTAATGAAATGGAAAAATATAATTATATGAAAGGTAGAAAACTGTGTAATTCACACTATACGATCTTCTTCTTCATGGGAAGAACAACTCTACCTAAATATAGAAACATTTTTTGTAATGTAGTGTGAATTTATGAATAATTTGGTATTTTGTATCTACTATTTTCAGGACAATGCAAGATCATTGTCCAGCCATTGCATAGTCTTGGCTAGAAACTGCCAAGTCCATATCTCTCAGCCTTCAATCGATCTACACTAAAGATCGTTCGCTATGGGTACAAAAAACATATCGAAATAAACGTTTCCTTCTTACTCTTTGCGAGCTTCGTTCTCAATTGTCATGGCGGACACAAGAAAAAGCTAAAAGCCTGATCATTCCAACAATCCTCAAGAAAACAAACAGAATTCTCGTCATTATTACATTGCTGGCCATTGCCTGCCTTTATTATTACATAATGAGCGGAGCTCATTCACACATATATACACAACTGCGATAACACAGAAAAGGAAATAACTGCCGCATGTAACGAGCCAGCCAAGCACTGAATCATGTTCTATGTAGTATGTTTCATCAACTCATGTGATCGACAAGGTAGACAGTTGATACATCGATCTAAGCCTCGGCGATGGAAGCAGGAGTGCTATCGGTGTTGAGGCTCAAGGAGTGCTGGTTCCAGATGATCTTGTACTTGAGCCAGGCGTCCGCTCGGTTGGCAGGGTACTCGTAGTTGCATCCGTTTTCGTGATTGCTGCTACCGCAAACGCATCCTTGAAAGGTAGTGTAGTAGCACCCATTGTCATACTCGCACCACCCCGAGTTCCAGTCCGTGGCGCGAGTCACGAACCCTGTGCTCCAGTCGAGTTTCAGCACACTCGGGCCGTAAGAGCGGCAGCACATTGCGCGGCTATCGTAGTGGCAGTCGTTCCAGTAATCGTGGCAGCCACTGCAGCGACGGATGCACAAGTAGTATCCCGTGTATTCCTTATCTTCCGTGTACTCTGGCACCATCATCTGTGCGTAGTTGTTATCTTGGCCTGTTGTTACCACCAGTGGGCAAGTGACCGCCTTCCACCCCTATCGTAGTACGCCTGCATGCAATTGTACAAAGTCAGATCCCATGTCGGTCGCAAGCAGGGTGACATTACTTGACTTGACTGGATTCAATCAATTCGATAGTATACTACTGTATGTACCTGCAGTGCGTAAGCCCTCCATGCGTCATCGCTGTCGCTGTCCGAGCGGCCGAGTAGAAAATCCCAGACCGGAAGGTACTCGTATCGCACGGGCTGATCGTCCACATCGTCTTCGCTCAGAAAATCCTCCAGAAGCTCTTGAGTGGCAGGCCCGCTGGCCAATTTGCTGCGTGTTTCCATACTACCACCCTTCACCCGCTTCGTGTCGGTGGTGGTGAGCTTCGATGCGTCCCGTCGCTCGGATTCGCTGTAGCCGGCGCAGGCTTCCAACGCGCCCGCGCCCTTGATTCCCTCGGCCTTTACACACGCCTTAATCTCCATGTCATTCTGATTGTAATTGTACTCGGCCTTGGCGCTACTCCAGCTTTGGTACACTGCTCCAGTGTAAGCTACATACACGATGTGCGAGCCCCACTTGTTCATGAAGTTGCGGAACGGTGCCCATGAACGATCTACATGCGGATCCTTCACCAGAGTAGGCAAATTCTGGAAATCCTCCATGAAATCGTCTTTGAGAGGGAAGTTGTTGAGCTTCGAGCCCCTGGGTAAGTACGTTTTGCTGTATAAACGCGCAGCACGGACTTCAGCCACTTTCACTTCAGTTTCCGATCCTGACACTCGCTTGAACTCTGAATCCACACTGAAGCTGACCCCCCGAATCTCTCCGCTCACTCCCATGTCAGCAGCGATCTGACACCATTACAAAGCCACGTTAAGCAATTTTACATATAATCTATCTACAATTTGGGATAAGTATCTTTTCAGCTGTCTACAATTATACATAATTTACCTAGGCAAGTCTTCACATAAATAATGAAAATTTTCAATTAGAAAAATCAATTATAAATAAAACAAAACTACGAATTGATCTTTAGATGTGATATAAGTTGAAGGACACATTGCTTCCAATGGGCTCTCATTTGAGAGTACATTGCTTCCAATGGGCTCTCATTTGAGAGTACAATGTTAGTGAAGCAGCTGAAAGAAATGTGTGAGATAAACATCTGATTGAATATCTGAACTTAAAGAGAATATATTTCAATCTTATTGGTTGTTTAACTGAGTTTGAAGAAATGCTTTGACATGGTTATGGCGGTTTTATTATTCAGCAATTGCCAAGACAAAAGGAATTGCATTAAATTTATCCATTTTGGCTAAATCAACCACAAAGCTACGAGGTCGCAAAAGATGCTGCTCATCAACGAATACTATCCTGTATTGCTGAAAACTTTAGACGAACTCTACTTGTTTACTGCCTAATGCTATCTGAAAACATATACAATATGCTCCATACTGGCTAGTTGTTTTGTACTACTACCGAAATACATCTCGTAATGCCATATGAAGATTAGGACGATACTATTCAAATAGCATCACAATGGAAATACATCTTATGCACTATCGAGATCAATTCATGTGCATGATACAGCCCATCCACAGTATAATTGCTATCTTCTTTCTTTCTACGGTGGATAACTAGTTTTCTCTGGAAGATAGATTAATGACCTATTTTACTTGAAAGTCATTACAACTATATTTCAGTCTATCTTCTTGTCATGTAGAATCAGACATACATAGCTACATACAAATTCAGACAAGCTAGAATTGAAAACATCAACCACATAAATATTCCAAACTTGCATTTTGAACTAGATAAATATTGATCCGCATTTTTTGAGTAAAATTATGCGTACTTATATACGGGAGGTTACTGTATAATATAGAACTTTGACAGTCGTGGGGACAATGGACTTGGGGCTAAAGTTGCCACAACAAATACTCTACCAATCATTGAATATTTAGAGTAGACTGAAGTTGTATTAGTACCGAATGCTTGAACTTGTCGCTGCTTTCGAAAAACCTGGAGTCCATGTCTGTGAACGATTGCTGGGAGGTCTTGGCGATGCTCTCCAAGTCGTCAGCATCAAAAATCAGCGGATCTGAGTTGTGATCATTCTGCAGGTTAACATGGGGCAGGTAGACAATTCTTCCCAGCGATTCGACGGCGGCACTGTTCGTGGCGGCGGCAGCGCCATGAGTTATCGCAGCCAGAAGCCCCAGGCACAGTTTCAATCTGATCACAAACTCTCCAGAGTGAGTAACACAATTTCTACATCAGCATACCATTGCACGACCAGCGAACACAAAATCTGAGAAACCTCAGCAATGTACGTTGCCCAATTGATACTTCATAGTGTTGCACTTAGACATGCCATAGCATCTCAAATTCTCCATGTGAAAACTGAACAATGTACAATGTCATGGCGACATAATACAGGTCTGCAGAATCAAACCGTATCAATGCTGATGTCTCCATGGTCATGTTGGTCGAAGTCCACAAGCTACTCCAGGTCAATCGGATCGTGAGGTTGGATTGAGAGTGTAGAGTTAGACGATCAGAGTCCAATATAAAGAGTTCGTAGCTGAAGTTAGAGAGTCTGGGCAAATGCCTTACTCGTCGATCATGAACACGCATGGCGCTCGGGGCTCGCATGTACGTTTCACTCCAGCGACTGCAACGTGGACAAAAGACATACTGGTTACAGCAGAGAGATGAGACGATGGCACTTCTGGATGATTGTACAAAAGACGATGCCTCAGATAAGGTGGCATTGATTTTATGAAAGAATATTTGCCTCATGGGAATATCTCAGATAAGGCGGCATTGATTTTACGATAGAATCTTATTTGCCTCATGGGAATCACTCAGATACGATGGCATTAATGTTACGAAAGCATGTTTGCCTTTTGGGAATCACTCGGGTGCATTAGGACTACAGAAGTCACATTCATTGGACAATGATGTGTATGTGGGATTAATGCCACAGACTCTCTAAAAGCACTGCGAGCCCACTCCTTGCCATGTGTCAAAGAGAGGAAGGGCCTGCTTTAGGTCATGGGTTGCTGTAGAGACAATAAAAGTGATAGTTTTCGTTCCCTCTATCGATCCAGTAGCGTGGGAGGTCATCTCGTGAGTGATGTATAGTCCGTGAAAGTAATTGTTCGATATGGAAAATTATCTGCAAAACGACTTCTCAATGCTGAATTTTTCTCATATAATCACTCTGATCTGTTGGTTTCATGAATGTTGTGAATGTCATGAAGTAATATATGCTCTGAAAATATACTGACTGATTGAAGAGTAACAGAAGACGTTAGTCTTTATCCGAGCTCTTTGTTATGGTATAGAGTACTGTATATTTTCCACCTGCGGACAGCGTAATCTATACATCGCTACAGTAGAGTGAAAACAAGTGAACTGCCGTATCAAGTAATGATGATTCAAGTCTGTTGTCCATTCTGAGTTTCTGCCACGTGGTTTTACTTGATATCATCAAAATTATTACTATGATCTCACATCTCTAAAATGTAATCATAAATTTGATTAGATGTTGATTGATATTATGCAATTTCATCATATATTTAGCAAAGTTTTGAAATTTAGTGATCAAATATTTGAAGTATTAAATTACATAAAATTTCATTGCTAGAAAAGTAAGTAATTAAGATTTGAACAAATTTTTTTCAAGAAAGATTAAAATTATAATTTTTTTTAATTTTAAAAAAAATATTCAGTTTCTTCTTCAGATTCATATTTTTATTTTAGTAAATTATGAATAATAAATTTCCTCTAATTAAAATTTAGCAGGTTTTAAAATTGTGAAGATTATAAAGTTTTAACACGAATAATTACGAGGCAAAATGAGATTTATCTCTTGGAATTTATGCTATGGAAATAAAAATAAAATTAAAAGAATATATCAAAGTGAAATCATTCATCTGATGAAACATTCATACAACATATCCACACAAACTAATATTTTTGAGAGTTTATTTGATTTATGTGTTGTATATAATTTAATTTGTTTTTTATTATGCATGTTAAAAAAATAACATATAAGCATTCATATTAGAATAATGATTATAAAAAATTTATTAAAAGATTTAATATTATAAATTTTATTAAAAATTCACATATTCAAATCATAATGAAATTTTATATCAATCATTTGTACAAATATTTAAAAAAATTTCCCTTTATTACATTAGCATTAATAATTCAAACTGATTGAAAATATTGATAATAATGCAAAATTTCAAATCTTGATTGTTTTTGTGAAATTTTTTTGTGTTAAAATACACATATATTTCACGAAAGAAAAAAACTTGACATTTGATATCAAATACAAATAAATTAGTTACAAACTTTAGTTGGCATCAAACTAAGTCATTATGAGCATTAATGTAAATAATATTTTTAATCATTGATCTCAACTCACTATTAAGCGAAGTTGACTTTTTCACATATGATAATAATATCTAGAATCTATAGTTTATAGTGCTTATATACTCTTAATATAATTTTATCACCTATTTTGATTCAAACACTTCTTTTATTGAGCTTAACTCAAAACGTTTAAAATCTTACCATCAAAGAGGTATCAATTTTTTTTTCATCTAGGAATAAATCTTATTTAAATTGATGTATATCAAAGTCCATCAAACATTTGAATTTACAAAGATGCAATAACTTCAATCATATAGAATTGATCATTTTTCATAAAACTTGAACCATTTCATACTAAAAAAACACTTTCTAATATAAGAAATGTAATAAAGACAAGCAAAGTTTAAAATCTACATTTCATACAGAATTTTTAATGAGTTAAAAAGGGCATATTTTTAGCATCAAAGATCATCTTTGAGCAAATTATCGTCCTCGTATCAAACTCTTGAGTCATATCAGCTGAAGGAAGATGATCATTTTTTATTTTCATGGAAAAATATTGATATGACCATCCTTGCCACATTTCCAACATATCATTATCTTTGTCACTATGAATTTACCTTTGGATCTTGATATGCTCTTAGATCAAACATGTTTGACATTCTTCTACTTCCATGAAAATGATTAGTCTTGACTCACATCCAATGTCAAAATGGATAAGAGTATGAAGAAGTTGTAAACATCATTTTTTGCTGCAAATCATCAGTCAATAAAGCACTTACAATTTTGTGGTAAGTGATTGTTCACTGTTCACAAAGAAATAAGATTTATGACAATGATTGGTATGATGTTGATAGCAAATTCAAAAGATATATCTCTTTTCTCTTTTCGCTTATCTCCTTTCCAAGTATCCTAAGATCAAACACTAGTTCAACGTCGCATCAATATGAATATGAATTTTTGTGCCAAAATTTTTCATCTTGAAAATTCATAAGCTTCAAGTATACGTTTCAACTGTTTTCAAAATCTTTCAAGTAAATTTGTCGTTCCAAAATCTCAAACAATAAAATGCAATTGTCATAATACTTTAATTGGTTCAATACTGATGATTGTAGATGTTGTATGACTATGTTCATAGTCTGCTCTTCAAGATACTTCTAATCACTTTTGTTGCAAATGTCAGATTTGAGACATAATGGTTTTTTTAAATCCATAGCATTCAACTTATCTTTCACTTGTCTCTCTCAAAATAGATAGTCTTCACGTCTATCAAACCTGATTCTCTCATGACAATCTCTGCTAGACTTAATGATCGTCATCTTGTTATGCAGAATCATTAGAGTTTTGCCTTATGATATTTAAGCAAATGCAACTTCTTTCCACTTCATATTTCATTTTCAAGATTTTGTGGTTGCTTTCAAAATTGACCAGACCAAGATCTATAAGAGAAGATTTTTTTGAAACATGAATCGGAAAAAAAAAACTTTGAAATTAATTTTCCATGCGACGTCGAGTTTCGTAATTTATCAATAATCAAGTTTTTAGGATTTTACAAGGGGCAAATTGTTTGTCTCTATAATATCTTTTAGGCGACCATTATGATAATATCGGCTCTAACAACTACAAAGGTCACATACATCATGTTGAGCTTGTCTTCAATGTATTAGCCCTTTATTCTTGGATTTACGATCTTGCTAAAACTTTCTTGTGTGTAATAATGAACTCTTCTCAATTTCACATGAAGTTTTTGTCAATGTCTATCTTTTCAAGCAATATCTTATCGTTGATAAGTTCTAAATCCAATATTTTGAGCTTAAAAACATTGTTGTTCAACAATCGAACCAATGCCACTACGTACTCTAGCGCAAAATACATTGTCATGATTTCAATCGGCAGTTTTTCAAATCAAATCGAAATCTAATCTTTGTCACAAACAATGTAGTACTTCTTATCAGTCCATCTTCATGTCCATGATTGTAGTCCGACATTACACTTTTCTTTTACGTGTTACGTATATATACAATTGCAACTTTTATTAAACTTTTTTTTATTATGATTAATGGAATTGATCAACGACGCTCATCTATAAAAAGAATTAGTAAGATTGAGTAAATTGTTGATATTGATTAGCTCAATAATTTTATCCGACATAGCTCGTTTTGTAAATCATTACTTAATGTGGATGTGATGTATTTAAATTAATGTGATCATTAATTCAAATTGAATATTAACTCATAATGCTTTCATTTGATTGGTAGAATTTGATGAAAGAATTAGTTAAATTGAGTAAATTGTATATCTTGATAAGCTCAATAATTTTATCCAAGATAGCTTGTTTTGAAAATCATTACTTAGTGTAGATATGATCTATTTAAATTGATATGATCATTAATTTAAATTTTCCAATTTAATGCTTATTAAAAATTATTTTGATAAATCTATATAAAAAAATCAATATCAATGAGTTAATTTCATTTTCAAGATAAACTTATTCAATCAAATGTTTAATTTTGCTGATTTAGTTGACATGTACAAATTTTGTAATAGACTAAACCATATATTTCAATTTATGCATTCAATTCCATATATATATATATATATATATATACACCTATTTAATCTTATATTATTTTCCATCTAGACACATTTTAAAGTCAATATTTACATAATAAATCAATGATTTAAAATTGCATGATTTTGCATCAAGCACAAGATCAAATTACAAAATATATTTTTAAAATACTCTTAAATCTATTTATAGCAATCTATAAAAAAACTCTCAATTTGACATGTATTTGTTCATCTTGTTTGAAGTAAGAGCAGTATTGATATCAGCTTAAATTATCAAAAACATAGATGTTAGTACTCATTTCTTGTAAAGAATTTTGAGCTAAATTTGTTTTCCCTCATTCATTAAAAAAATGCTAATGAAATTTTGAAATGGAAGAATTAAAAGGAACAAAAATAACCATTTAATTGCAGTTTTTCATGCTAAATCTTGCAACAAAAAAATTTGCAAGTTTGCCTCATGTACTGTATAGTTTTTCATCTTAAGTTCATGCTACGGTAATGCTACGTCGCTACATATTTCTTGCTATGCTATTCTTCACTCGTTTCGAAAGACTCTTGAGATTGGTCCTTTGACCTGCTTTTGCCCTCATTTGGCATTCTAAGTGTGACGAGAATATCAATGTGTACTGTACAAACACCTGCTCAATTATTTTCTGTCTTGTGTTTCCTCTACACGATGATTTGCAAAGAATACGAATTTCTACCTG